ATTCCATTGCTCCTTCTATCTTTTTTAGGCGAACATACAATAAGTGGCTAAACCAAATATTTTATAGTATAACATTTTTTGACCAATGTTGGCAGTGCTCGCTTCACTCCACATAGATCTATAGTCCCTGATCCTCGTTCGGACAATAAAGCTCTGAGTGATGGTCTCAATATCAAATTTTCCTATTAATCATAAGTAGCTTTCAGCATTCGGGATGACGGAGCTCGGAGGATTATGCACGCTTGCGCATTATGAATGTGATAAGATCGAAACAGTCGGAGCGCCTCTTCCAGGAATGCTTTTCAAGGTCATAATCATTTCTATGTCTTAAAAAGATGAAAACATACGACTTGAATCAAACTAGTCCATTTCCTAAATGGCTTATAATGACTTCAAAATAATTTCGATCCGTCTATTGAAAGTTACTTTTGATATTGATGCCAAAGTAAGAAATGTGAGAACTTGAGGAACAGACACAACAAAAGATACTTTATAGTCTAAAACACAAGTTGTTTGTAACATTCCATATACAGGGTAACATTCCATACACATATGCATTATTATCATTCTCAGCTTCTCATTGGTGCTATGCTTCAGGTTGTAAATTGGGAAACGAAACAACTCTGTCCACCCAGAACTCCGGGACATCTCATGGTTCTGGGGCCGCAAGTTATGCCAGCCTATTACAAAAATCCTAAAGCTACAGGAGAATTATTTGATCCAAGCGGTTACGTCAAAACAGGTGATATACTATTTGAACCATTTCTCGTCTGGAAATGGCTCATTTAGGAGATGCGGCGTTTTACGATGAAACTGGGCAGGTATATGTTCTAGATCGAATCAAGGACATTATAAGATATAAAGGAACTTTGGTAGGGACGAAATTATCCTGCCTTGGAATGTTTCTATTCATTTTTTTTGTTAAGATCTGCCCATCAGAAGTCGAGCTGATGCTGAGAGCACATCCAGGAATCGAGGACTGTGCGGTCGTCGGACGACAGGATCACGTGTCCGGTGAAGTATGTGTTGTAGGATCGGTTACTCTAGGTCATTCTGACCGGGAAGTAGTGTAGAATTCGTCTGAGAGCCCATTTAATCAGCAGGTGCCGGCCGCATTCGTGGTAAAAGCCTCAACGCATCCGCTACTGTCATCAGCAGAAGTGAGACAGTACGTATCTGGTGAGCGTTGTGTTCCGGGTTTTCTTCAACCTGGTTCGCAAGTCAACTTACAGGAAAAATTGCATCGTTTAAAGAGCTCAGAGGGGGTGTGTTCTTCATTTCCGAAATTCCACGCACGATCTGCGGAAAAGTGGTGCGCAGACAGCTACGACAGTTCTGGGACAGAGAGAGGGCCAACTCCAAGGTGGGTTCACTGCCTGCCCGAGTTATAAAGGTCTCAAACAACGCTTCGTTCGAGCAATAAAATAGGAAACTAAATCTATTGCAGGACGTGATAGCCAAGGAGGGAAAGGCACAAAAAGCAAACGAAAGGATTGACAAGACACCTGTGAAGCGAGCCAACGGCTCTGCAACACCGACAAAAAGAATGAACAAGGCTGGGAAGAAGTAAAAAGTAACTCAGACTTTGTTTCCAACAAATTCATGTTGCGCTATATGTGTCTCTCCTGAGTGACTAAAGCTGACTGGATATAAGCCACAATGATAGTTCAGAACTTGCTTGCTTCATATATGAAGCATATATGCTTGTTTCATATGAAGCCTTACGTAAACTTTTACCGTAATCCGCGCAGCTGTCTTCTTCATCATTACAGTTTTATCTGCTTTTCGAATGATTATGCAACCTTAGAAGAACCCCTCGCCAGCTCAAGCTTGAAGAAATAAACTATCAAATTCGCTATCCTCACCTACGTCTGAGGAAACCCCGTGTTTTCTGCACTCTTCATCATTCGATGAAGTCATGCATTATTATGTATGTTCATCTCAGCCAGGCACATCTACATAAGACTTATCTATTCATCTCTCTTTACACCACTGTCGCTTGCCGTTGATGTTTCACCAACTAACGATAATTAGCCATTGCCATTGCGATCTGATATTGTTCAAATGCGAATCAATTGCCATCTATGAAAGTGACTGCGTTATGGTAAAAGTGACAAGAATGAATGAAGCATTGCTAATTTTTGATCTTCCTAATCGATACTAACAACAACAAAATATCTGCATCTGCACTCAAAGACACCGATTCGCAAATTTCGAGCTATCCTTGCAAGCACTGCAAGCAAATTTCAAAGCTAAAAACTAACTGTTAAGACAGTTTACTACTTAAAGGCCACTTGAT